AAAAAAGAGTAAATTTCCACTGACAATCCCACTAAAGATTTTTTATCCGCTAGCATTTTACTTCGACTAATATTTACTCCCCACTAAATATTCAATTCCCACTAACCATCACAATGGCTCGTTCAGTCCCAATAGTCATCACCGTAATGGCTTAGGATATCTAAAGACACTGAAAACTAACCTCAAAAATATGAAAATATATCTGAACATATTCCAAGAAGAATAAAAACGAAATTACATGGAAAATAGGAAATGGGCAATAATTGGTTCTTTCGCCAAAAGGATCATAAGCTTATACAAAGCTAATTTGAAATTTCTCATATGGAGAAATTAGTCATTCAAAAAGAATATTAGGTTCACATTCAAAGTGGACAAACACTCAAATGTTTATTAAATTTTAAAACATATTGAGAGTGAGATCTCACATCAACTATATTTATGATCAAAGTAGACCTTACAAACTCACTTCATGAAATAACTTTTGGGATTATGTTAGACTCATCACCCCAAATTCAAAATAGTTTCAGGATCACCCTCAACTGTCTAAAACTTTACCCAAACGCACAATTTCACCCTATGGCTTTCTCAATACAACATAAGAATATCCTACAAAGTCCACACTTGTTGTCCAATCCTTGGTGTGCAAGGGGTTGTTCAGATGTCATGTCACATTAATTAGACCAAAGTAGAGATTATAAAAGTTTGGACCTTCACCTCCTAGACTAGTTTTTTGGGTTTAGTTGGCTCCATCCTAAATTAAAGAGAACATTTAGCATGATATTATAATAGGTGCCAATTCAAGCACTCATCATGTTAGCTCGGAGATCAGTATAAATTCAAGGCAGCCAAATATTCAATATTCCAGTATAATCCTTTGAAACCTAGTGACCTTTTTGTGGAACCGTGAGTTACTTTAGAAATCAGCTAATCAACCAATGAGAATCAATGTTGAAAAGCTACAAAATTAACACTTGAGGCACCTGATCTTCAACAGCATAAATTCAAGGTATCATTAAGTAAATTGGAATTATCAACATGAACCATCACGGTTAGAAACATACCAAGCACATTTGAAACATGATGGACAACTACTATTTTGGTCTTCCGTGAGAACATATCTTTCAATTTGCCTATATCTGGAATTCCATCTTGGTTTAAATCCACAAATTTCAAAACAGCCCCTACTTTTTCAGCTACTAGTTGCCAAGGAACAATCGCACTGTGATGCTCAGCAACTGTAAGTATGATCTGTAATAGTATATAAAACTACAGATTTTAGAAGTACAAAGTTGGAGACAATACCTGTATGAACAAAAATCATTATGCTTATGCTAAATATAGAACGATAGGGTTAAGAAATTAAAAAGAAGCCCAAATGTCTCACCCTGCTATTTAAAAGTTCTACTTCAAAAATTTTATTTTTGATAAATTCAATTAAACCTTAATACTCTCCAAGTTTTAATAAAATGCATAAAATAATTTTAGAATTAGTTGAACAAATAAGAGAATTTAAAAATATAAATCTATAATGAAATACCTCGTCTTCTGGTTTTAAATTTGACAACCCCCAAGAATAAGCAACAAGATTGATAGCTTCAGAAGCATTTTTTGTGAATATAATTTCTCTAGAATCAGAAGCATTTATGAAAGATGCAACTTTCCTTCTAGCTGATTCATACTCATCTGTGGCCTTTGCACTACATCCACAAAAATTATATACAATAAAGCAATAGGTTATTTCAGTAATACCCAAATAAATTGAATATTTATTTACCTCCTGATAAAGCAAGAAAGAAATTAAAATAAAGTTTCCTCAAATTGCACGTGTACCAAATATTATACAGTACATACCTCAAGAAATGTATGCCCCGATGAACATTTGAATTGTAACCTTCATAGTAGTTTTGCAATGCCTTCAATACAACGGTGGGCTTCTGAGAAGTTGCTGCATTGTCTAAGTAAACAAGTTTTGAGCCATTTACTTCCTGTGGAGTGAGGTAAAGTATCATAACTTTCATAATATTTGTTGGAGATCTCACATCATCTAGAAAAATGGCTAAATTATAGTATACAGGTGGAAGTTTTAATGTTCATGAAGTTAGCTTTTGCTTTTAGGTGCTGCTTATACATGTTGCTTCAGTTACATCAGTTTGGAAGAGGACTGAGAACTGTGAGGCCTAGAAAGGCATAACTGAAAGTTTTAGTTTTTATTTTTCGAGGTCGCCCCACGTAGTAAGTTGAGGTGGAAATCAGTAAAGGCAGTCCTCATAAGCAACACGTATATAACTGAAGCAACAAAAGTATAAGCAACACCTAACAGCAAAATCAACCTCTTAGAACGATAAAACTTCCACTTATTGATATAAAGTAGTAACACACAATAAGATATCATATCCTAGTAAAATTTGTTAAGTCTATCATGTTATCCACTATTGGGCTACTATCAACCAGCTGCATACATTCAATCTCACGTTCAAGAAGTCAAGTCATCAGCGTGACGAATGTGTTAGAGATTCTATATTTACTAAAGATATGATCAAATCTCAATATATAAGTCATTGCAAAACTTGTCTTACATGATATTGTAAAGTTTAGTTAACTTTAAAGTGTACTTTTAAGAATATGTACCACAACAACATATGAAATGTCAAGTATACAATTAACAAATTCGCGAGCTAATTTGCAAAGAGAAAATAAGGCAAACAATTCTAGTGTGAGTGAGGCATAGTTTAATATTAAGACAAGACTGGATATTTCAACTTCACTTTGACTAGGCAAAAACTAATAGACTTTGTCCAATAAGCCAACATATTACTCAGAAAACAACAAGGCACATATGAAACAGTTAGACTTGCACTCTATAATACTTCTTGAGACATTAGCAAAGATAGGGGAATATGAATAATAAACCCTTGACTTCTGTGGTATCCAATCAAAGCAACTCGTTGTTGCTCTTATGGTTCCAAAAAAAAATGAGGATCTTAAATGAGAATCCAAACATGCTATAAGTGTTTGAGACTTGACTGTCAACATTTCAATCTCTACGGCATATATTATTCGTATTTTTAAGAGGGTCTAAGCTTGTCCATCCATCAAGAATTAAATTTATAACACAATAATTAAATTGAAAGTTCAAACCTGGATTAATGAAACACTTCTAAAAATTCACAGCTACACTGAGGAAAACAAATTTGAGGATAAAAGGTAATAAAAAGGACACCTGATGAAGTATAGGAAAGTGCGGACGGGTGGAGTGCCCCAAAGATGGGGTGCCAATAGCTGGTTGAGCTACAGCTTCGTTGACAGTTGATGCAAAAACAGAGAGAGACGATACGCGTCGCAACCCAAATCTTACAATTGATGAGCTCCTAATAGTGATCGAGCAGCAGTGACTGGGACTTGGAAATTTGAAAGAAGGAAGTTTTGGCAGCAAAACTTCCATTGCCAAGTTCACAACAAGAACAAAATCTGCAACATGGTAATTTATATTTGAGATGTTTTGCATCAAGAGGAAAAGGTTAAAAAAATATACCTATGTTATATAAAATAAACACAATTATCAAACAAGTAACTCTACTGTAAATTCAATTCAACCCAAGTCCAAAATTCACGAATAGGTATCCCGGAATCATAAGCATGTCAAGTTCAAACCATTTTATGAAAATAAAAAGGAAACAGAATTACATATCATCCACAAGGTTTAGTCTGCAATGAAAAATCCCAAGAACGTGTATTAATTACAAACAAAAAAAGAATAAAAGAAGATACTAACTATGGATGGCACCTCTCTCAGTAAACCTGTTACAGATGGAGAAAAGCCTTTGCAGGGGTCACGGTTGTCCTCTTCAGAATATGGATGGCTGCGGTTTCTGACAAAATTGCCACTGTCTCTGGAGAGATAGATATTATAAGAAGACAGATAAATAATATATATATATATATATATATATATATATATATATATATATATATATATGGATTTTCTAAAGTTTTAACAATATTGCGAGTTTTACTAGATAAAAATATTTTAATATATTATAAATTTTAAAGTTAAATGTATTTTAATATCTTATTTTTATTCTAACATTTTTTTAGTTTAAATTAAAAATAAAAATTATTAAATTCATGTTAAGATTATTTATTCATATTGCTAAATTTTGTATTGTAATAAAATCTTTAGTATTGAAATTGATTCCGTTACAACAAGTAATACTTATATTTTAATAATTTTAAAAAGCATAATTTTGAAAAACAACTTAACTTAATCTTCATTTCTACCAACTTGTTGTCCCATGTTATTACATTATTTTAACAATTTTAAAATTTAAAATATAAACTTTATAACTTTCAATTTGAATACCTTGAACCAATTATATTAAGTCATTAAATTGACTTTCTTATTCAACATGCTTACGAAAGAATATATTTATGTAATTTTCATGCTCTAAAAGAATATATTCATGTAGTCATTACCTAAAACCATGTATCTCTTTGCCTGTGTGTTTCCTTATGGTTCTTTAAAACTGAAGCAAATTAAAAAATACATGGGTAAACATCATTTTTCTTTTGTGAAAATAATTTTAATCCTCAAAGAAGCTAATAAAAATTGATAGCAATGATAAAAAATAATAACATAAAGATGTTTATACAACACGTGTCAATTTTGGAGTGCTATGTCACCACTTTTATCAGCCTAGTTTATTTTCATTCTAAAATATATTTTTTTCCAAATTTGGGATCCTAATATAATTTTGGTATGGAATTAAAAAAAGAACTTAATTTTAATTTTGATGATTAATTTTTATAAAAAATAGTAATATTATTTTTTATACTTTTTGATAATTTAAATTTCGTAATTTTTATTATTGATAACTTTTTTAACATATTTCATTTCTATTCAGTAATATAAATTATAGACTAATTTTTAATAGCTTGGTGTCAGAATTCTTTTTAATCAATTTTGGTTTTAATTTGTAATTATCAATTTGGGTTAATTTTTCAAATGTGAAGCATGCGTAAACCCTGCTTCTACCCCTGTTTGTCTCTTTCTCTGGCAAGTGCGAACCAAAAGAACCATATCTTCTGACTCTCTCACTCTCAATTCCAAAACCGAAGCAAATGGAGTTGTGCACCGTGAACGCGATTCTTCCACCAAGGCTTTCCGTTTCCACAACGCACGCAGCTTCCGTTCGAAACCTCAAATCCTCCGTTCCGTTCCCCCGTTTCATCATCCGCGCTCAACGCGAATTCGAGAGTAAGTACCAAGCACCAACAATTTCAGCATCTGTGAATTTCTTCGCTGTAAAATGCGTCGTTTCAATTGCGGTTTACGCGCAGGAATGAGAGGACTGCGACCCCGTGCGACTGTGAGTGACGGCCGTTCCTGTGAGGCGGTGGACGAGAGCCGAATGCATAGAGTGTGTGACAAGCTGATTGGGGTTTTCATGGTGGACAAGCCCACCCCAACCGATTGGAGAAGGTTGTTGGCTTTCAGCAGAGAATGGAACAACCTCAAGCCTCAGTTCTTTGCGCGCTGTCAAGAAAGAGCCGATGCCGAAGAGGATCCCGCCATGAAGGAGAAGTTGCTACGCCTTGCAAGAAAGCTCAAACAGGTCTCTTTTTGTTTTCAATTTGTTTGTTTATGAATGTTAATGGAATAAATGATACGACTAGGTGTCTTTTATGCAACTCTCCAATCGCGATAGCGTGTGTTAACATTTAATGGAAACTTTTATTATGTGGATCATTGAGTTGAAACTCTAGAGAACACTACCAAAGTCTCTGAAGGAACTGTGTATAAATCTGTTTGCATTTTATTCAAGAGTGAACTTAGATACAGTTTTTCCTATCATGATTGGAAGGATTACAGTATTTCCACTATAATCTGCGTATGCATTAAAGGATTATGCAGATTATCGATATGAAACTTTCAATTGGAGAACAATAAAAACAGTACGTAAGTTTTATCCATAAAATACTTGGTTACTAAGAAATTCTAAATAATAGCATGAGTTCGGTTCAGTTTCCCACGAAGTTATCAGTTATGAACCTCGCTTCAAATATTCATGCAAAGAAGTGTCTACAGATAATATATTACCCGACAATTGGCCCTCCAGTTCTTGCTATTCCTATTCTTGAAACTTGTATGCGAATGCGTGTGAGGATATTATACTAATTAGGCAAATTATATTGCTTTATTGTGTCTATTAAATACAAAGGCTATATCTAATATTCCTGAGAATTTTTTTTAACAGAGTCCAATGAGGTAATGACGTCATGCGAACACTGTTATTTACCTCACTTGGTAGGCTTAGGATTAGGTTTTCTTTGTTGTATAAAAACTGATAATGTTAAGATTGTGATTCCCTCTTTTGATTTAAGATTTGATTGTATGTTACCGATTTCATACGTGTAATGTGTTGTCTTGTTATTTTAAAATATTTTGCACTCTGTATTTTCCATATATCCTCCTGTGTATATCCATGCCCACTAGCTTCTCATTATATTACATATGCAGTCTTACCATGATCTACATTCGTTGGAGGATAAGAAACAAGAATAGGGATTGATTAAGGTTGTAATTCTCTTGTGCAGATTGATGAGGATGTGCAGAGACACAATGACCTTCTTGAGGTGGTAAAACAAGATCCTTCAGAAATTAGTGAGATTGTCTCCAAGCGTCGTAAAGATTTTACTGAGGAGTTCTTTATTCACTTTCATACAGTGGCTGAATCCTACTATGATAACAAAGAAAAGCAAAATGGTATGACTTTACTTTGCAAGCTTTTAGTATCTAAGTTGATGTTTGAAATAACCTTCCGGACATAGTGTCCAATTTGGCTGAATGTTTTGTCAGGTTTTCTTGTATGGTAAATTGTCAAACCATATCAGGTTCAATTAGTTCAGATTCTTTCTCTCTGAGTATAACCAAATACTGATGTTTATTTTTCCTAGTAGAACATAATCAAATTTATGACCTGCATGAAACATCAAATAATAAATTTGTAGAAGCAGAAGTACTTTTGCAACTGAAACATAATTATAAGGTCGTAATTAGGAGAAATCAGGATATTCTCTGCGTAGGCTGGGAGGAATTCTGATAGTTAGCCAAGATCATGTGGCAGATGCCATATGTTTAGAATTGTGTTGCTTTCATGGGACAGTTCAAGCTTGCATTGTAATTGATTTTACAATACTAATCTATAATGTTTTTTTTTTATGTGTTTCAAGAATTGGCAAAGATTGGGAACGCATGCTTGGCTGCTGTACAAGCCTATGATGCTGCAACTGAAAGCATTGAACAAGTAAATGCTGCAGAGTTGAAATTCCAAGATATTATCAGTTCTCCTTCGCTTGATGCTGCCTGCAGGAAGATAGACAATTTGGCTGAAAAACAAGAACTTGACTCAACATTGGTATTGATGATCACCAAAGCTTGGTCAGCTGCGAAGGAGACAGACATGATGAAAGAAGAGGTAATTTGATGGTGACCTTAATTTCCTTTGTGTGCTATTTCTTTTTTTAATTTCAAGAACATGGATGATAAGAAATTTTGGATGAGTGTCTTGTTGACTGTATATAACTATAGGTCAATTTGATTGTAACTAATCTAACAGTTTCAGATTTATATTCTAATTAGCTAGAGAACTATATTGGAATTTTCTCGTCATTATATACTTTACTTGATTTTTCAGACTGTCTTATTTTAGCTTGTAAAATGAAACATTTATTTGTAGGTAAAGGATATCCTATATCATTTATACAAGACTGCTGTGGGAAATCTTCAGAGACTTGTGCCGAAAGAGGTTAGAATAGTGAAGTATCTTATTCAAATCGATGATCCGGAAGAGCAATTGTCTGCCCTTAAAGATGCATTTACACCTGGAGAAGAAATTGAAGGAAAGGATGTGGATAATTTGTACACGTATGTATTAGATGCCAGACCATAAAATAACTTGAAACAGAATTCATTTGCAATAACTTTTTGCTCAATATTTTTTTCAGGACACCAGAGAAGCTTCACACTTTAATAAAGAGTGTGGTGGATGCTTATCATTTGAGTAGAGAAGGTAGCCTCATTAGGGAAGCGAGGGATCTGATGAGTCCGGAAATCATCCAAAAATTAGAGGTGCTCAAGATGGTTGTCGAAAGGAACTTCATGTGAATAGAAGACATGCTAAGATGGCTTTCCTACTTTGAAGTGCCAAAATTCTATTCTTGAGGCATGAGATTCTCTGCCCACCAACTACAAGCCCAGACGTACAGGGGCACTGCAAGGAAATATGTAGTTACTGGGTAGTGTTTAAGGATTCGGAATTCTTTTTGACCATAGAATAAAACAACTTTTTTTTTAGTGAAAAATAGACGAGCAAAGCAGGAAACAAAATATACAACAATCATAATGACAGCATGTAAGTTAGGTTTGTCTATGGTTTTGGTCACAATAACTATAGGAAATCTAAAAGTGAGTAGGGAAATGTGTTCTTTACACGTAGGAGATGGAACTATTACATATTAGACCCGTATATGAATACAGGACTTGGACTTTTGAGCCCTGGCACAGGGTGATTGTTCTACCAAAAGTCTAGGTCCTTAGTTAAGTCACTTGTAAGGTTAAAGATAGAATGTATGTGTGCACATCCTCAGGTATTTTGTTATATATTGTTAGTTTCTCAGTTTATTTTTTAATTTTACTGTTCTGTCTTCCAGGTCTAAGCAAATGACCACTTAGGGCTGTTTTTTCGTTTTTGGAAATGGATTTTTCTTGAAAGGACAAAAAGATGTTTGATTTGATAAAGCTGTTGTTTGAAATTTTCAAAATCTACATTTTTGTAAGAAATTCTTACCATCTTGGATAATGTAATTAAAATTGTGCAACTAATTTTGTTTGCATTTTTCTTTTCATGAATGGGCTTCCTGATCCTTTCGCGATGATATCTGAAAATAATAATTAGAAGTTACATTTCTTTTTGTAATTTTATTGTAAACGAGAACTATTTTATTTAAATTGAAAATCCCGTTTTATTTGTGCTAGGAGAATGTAGCACATTCAAGCAATTAATGTCACTCCATTTCTATACCAAGCATATATACAACTAACAATCTTAAAGTTTCTTTACAAAAAAAATATTTATATCAATTATTCTTCAACCTAAATATGCACTATAATAAGTTACAACAAAACATCAGCCAAAATACTAACATATTTCAAATATATTCGGATTTTAATATCCTAAAGTACAAAAATTTATGAAATTACTAGTTAAAATAAGTAGATAAAGAAATGGCTCCACACTTAACAGACTAGACTTGGCCCATAGTCCATGTAGTCGCGCTATATTATAAATTCTAGTTCCGCAAATAAACGCAGAGCTCCGTTTCGTATCAATTTTCAGTGACATTCAGTCAGATATTGTTGTAAATGGCATCGATTTCTCCTTCTTCAAGCAATTCAACTTCCACGCCATATGTTACTGATTTGACAAAGGAACTGAGGCTCCACGAAGTCGCCTTAGCCGAGCTTAACAATCACCCTTCTTCCAGAGTAACCTCATTTTTTCTCCTTCGATCTAACTTTTTCTAACCATTTCAACTTCATACATAGGGTTAGGGTTTTTTTGTGCTTTAGTTATACATACAAACATTTAGAGTAACCATTACTTTAACCCTCCCAAGGTAGAAATCACAATAAACCATACGTTTATTTAGATTGTTACTTGTTTTAATTGCGCTAATCCGAAGATTAAAAACTACTGGTATACTCAATTTAATCTATAGTCTTTCCTTCGTTTTGGAAAACGTTTTATTAGAAGTATTAGGTGATTATTTTCAGCAGGTTCAGCAATTGCAGCATTAAAAGATTATAAAAAAAACTAGAGGTACTGTATTCTATTTATATGTTTTTACTACTCTAATTATTTCGTTGTTGTTTTTTTTTTCCTTTACCTGCTATGAAATGTAGGCTGTGTATCGGAAGAATGGGAACTTATTTTTTCGCACAACCATCCAAACAGCAACAACAATGGAACAGAGTAAGAATTTTCTCCCTTTCACACTGTTCTTCTTCACTACATTCTTGAAACAAATTAAAACGCTGAAGTGTTATACAATTCTGATTGTTATTATTAATTGTTTTTCTTTTTATCAAAATTTGTGTTGGGTAGAGGAACTTGAGTCAGCCAAATCGAAGCTAAAAGGTCTGAATTCTTCTTCGTAGTCATGCATTAGAAATTTTGATGGTTGGGAGAAATGAAGCAGTTGCAATTGGAAACTTCATTATTAAGAGCTGCAATATGTTAGATTTTCACTCCAATGATATTGTTATAGTTTTTGTACAAAACAAACATTGTGTGAATATACTAAGACACTTCCAGTCTATATACATTTTGGTGTTGTCCTTTAAACTTTACTCTTGCTCAATATCCTCTACCATCTCTATGAATCTTCAATTGGTTGCACAATGTTAGAAAGCGAAATCTAGTAGCTTTTGTAAACTGTGTGGACACTTCGATTTCAATTAAGTCTACATGATTTGGCACATAGCTGGTGGCGCATCATGTAAGGATGCATAATCTAAGATACGCTGTTTTTTATAATGAAAAGGACTAAAGAGGAGCAGGAAAAAAAAATCACTTTGATGAGGAAATCCAGTGTAGTAACACCATAGTAAGCAGCAAACTGATAGGCAAAGGTAAGAGAATTATATGGCCCTGGTATTTCTCATCCATTGTTTACGTTAATTATGCCAAATGATGGTCACTTTTAAATTTGAAGTGATAAAGGTAAGTGATTGATGTGATTTGGGTTTTTACTCATCTGGTTGAAGCAAAATAAATGTAAGTATTTTTGTAACGAAGTTATTTATTATAACGTTGGCTTTACCCTGCTCCCTCTGTCTCGAGTTAGGCTATCATCTTCTCTTCTAAACTTTGACATCCATAAAAAGTTGATTATTTAAATTTTAGCGCTGAATAAATATAGTTTTATGATGGATAACAAAATTGTGTTTCTGAGATGTGACAAGAGATCAATATATTTAAAACTAAAAAAATCTACATTCAGCGTTTTAGCCTTCTAAGTATCTGCTTAGCTATTATTCAATAGTTGTGTCATATGCTTCTTATACTTACTCTGCATGTCCATGCATAAATTGTTATAAATAATATTTTATCCAACACAGGTTTTGCAATATTTTCATGCGTAGATCATTGTTCTTTGTCGTGTATGATAGTTTTGAGAGGGGATCTTTGTTGAACTGGCTGTATGAATTGTAGTAAACTATCTAAAATGTGTTCGATTCTTGTATACAAGTTGTTTATGCTGAAATGAGACGAGGATAACCGTCTGTCCAAAAGTCATGTGTGTCGAATGTCGTGCTTCTTCTTTGTTCCGACGCTCAAATTATAATTTTTTTCTATAGGCCTTTTGTAAATTACCAGTGAGTCAACAATGAGTTTATCTTGAAATTAAATCCTTATTTATAGAGTTTAAAAGAATATGACGAATGAACTTACCTCTTGATGGTGCAAACCTTAATTATTTAACAGTAGTCGTTGTCACATTAATTGCGTCTTAACTCTTAACGGTTGTCGAGACCGCCTACAAGGTTCTTTCTTGCGCTTTGACCGCTTGGTCCTTTCTTTCTAGTATGTCACCTTATTCGATCGGTTGGCTATAAGTCCATAGTAACACAAATATATAATAGTTTTAAGTGTGTTAAGAGGGTTTAACTTCAAAGGTTCTATATAATGGTTTATAAGTTGGTTTATAAGTTATTGTGCTCGTTGATTATTGTTGGGAGTTGGGATAATTTCTTTTAAGTCCTTTGTGATATTTATTTTGATGGCATAATGGTTGATCTAAACACTCACATGTAAAGAATTTTTTTTTTCTCTTGGAAATAATATATGAAATATATTGATTTGATTATAAATTATTTGAGAATTAAAACTTAGTTATCAACATTTTTTGTCAATAAAATATGCTTAATTATATTGGGCCATTAATGGCATTAAAAGGCCCATAAATTGAAGTGTGTTATTGGGCCAGTTGGCTATAACGATGTCATATCAGAGCCCTTGGTTCCACACTTAGCTGGGAGAAACGCGTGCTTTTAGCCCCTTTTGTGAAAAATAATTTATATGTTTTTTTAAATATATTTAGAAACATAATCATACTTAGCCATTGACCGTTGACTGAACTAATGTTAGAACTATCTTACTCACTCAGACCTAATTATGTTGAGTGAATTTCAAAACTAATTCCACAATTCAAATGAAAAAGCCATTACAAAGTTTTTACAGGAATTAAAATAAACTGCTATTCCAAAATAAAATAGAAAAAAAATTATTTCGTACATGTTGTTCAATACCTTCAAAATTTTCATTTTTTAATTGTACGTAAATAATATATGAAAAAACATTACTTGTGTATATATATTTCCCTTTCTTTTTTCTTCTCTCCTAAAAATATCTTTAGATAAGTTTTTCTTTAATGGAATTTTGACAAACTGGTGTGAGAGAAACGTCATTAGGAATCATCATAGCTATTTTGCACTGGTATAATGACAAAATAAGCAAAGTTGACTATAGACCACGCTACACCATTTTGGTGTAATTTAACAGAAAGTCGTTAATAATCTATTGTTAATTTTCTTTGACAATTTATTAGCGAGATTAGACATGAAATTAGACTTTGAATTGGACGGGTAAAATGGGGTTGAACTGGGACGTATCTACCAAACTTTTCAACATGTTATTTTTAACTTTGAATTATATCATCAAAAACATTTTATTATCTTATATTCAACTTTACCATGATACTTTTAGCCACACATTTATCATCTTATAGTACTGATAAAAGGATAATCTATTCTTAGCATATTGCTTTCCCTATATTGAAAAGGATAATATTTTCAATAATGTCTTGTCTTTCTTTATTTTTTTAATTATTTCATACCTTTATTTATTATAAATGGGAAATAAGTGATAATGAATTTTATATCAAGAAATTAAAAGTTATTTTTGATATTAATATGAATGTTACTTATATTTGTATCCTCCGAAATTATTTGTTTCCTGAGAATTATATAAATATAACAATATAATTATTTTAATCGAACGGCTAACAAAATAGAAAAAGGTACATTAATTATTTACAAAAAAAAAGTTATATACAACAAGAATATAGGAAAATATTCATTGTTTTCCAATCATAACTATTAAGTATTAGTATTTTTTATTAGTACAATAGTTATTTTAAAAGCATATTAACTGTATTTTTCTCGGTCGAGGACGTGGAATTATTTTTAATTAGTAATTCGTGATTACTAAACTCTCAATTAATAACTTAAAATTATGTTGTTCATTGCCGTGTTTTTCTTCCAAATCAGAGACACGAGTCTAACACAATTTTTATTTTCAAATTTGACGCATTTATTCATTTAAAAAAATAAAATAAAATTATCAGATAGACACAAGATCGAATCTAACGGCACAAATCCTTCTTTAGAACAGTTTTTGCAAACATGCAAAATCAGACATGTCAATGAATACAAATAATCAGAACATTACAAGATGGTAAATAATTGCATGCGCGTCCAAAAACATGGTTTCATATTCCATAAAATAACATTTTATTGATATATCATTCAAGTAATGAGAACCATGTGGTTTGAATATTTAATTCGAACAACACTGTCATCCTTACACCAATAATAGAGATAACATGTCACCAAATATGGACCCACGTATTGTACAATTTACTATAATTTACATTACACACATAAACATCAAGAGTTTCTAAATATTTATTCAATGTAGAAGATATACTATTAATGAGTAGGTAACCGTGACGAATATACTCTTCTAATTACAATTACTTTAAGGACACATGAAAAATTCACTTCTAACCTAAAATTTCAACTCAATAATTTTACGTTTCTTGTTGTTGTTCATTTTATCTATTTATATTTAATATAAGAATTTAATTTGTACTTAAATATTTGTCAAATTATTTCTCTTTCTTCTTCTACTTCATAAATTCACAAAATCATCTTTTTAAAGAAAAAAAATATTAACGCAATTTTATTAAATTAGTTCCAGTTAGTTTTATTTTTAATTAATATATGATTTCAAATATATTTTCTCATATTAAGAATGTCAAATATAGAAAATGTATATTTTGTAATATAAATGAATAAAGAATGATTAAGAATTCAAGTAGTGCATCGAGAGAAGCGTTAGTTGGACAAAATTGAAAAGAGACACAACACTAAATGAAAAGATACTTTATCATATTATAACTACTGAAAAAAAAAGCTAAATAGAGATAACTAAAACATTGTGAACACTTTTGAAACACCTGTTACAATTTATGTAACTTTACTTTTATTTTATTGTGGCTTATCTATGAAAAAAAAGAGAAAAATTATAAATAGGTTATTCAATTTTTTTTAAAAAGTGACAAATGATTACTATTAAGATGTTGACATTAAATATTTATCTCATAAAATCAGTTTGTGTAAGGTAAGACTTGCACCCACCTATATATTTAAACTAGTTTTATTATGATATTGGATTTTGGACACACCCTCCTTACATAGAGATAGACATTAATTAGTGGTCCAATAACAACTGATAGTGAATGGAGCAATATGTCTAACAAACAACAAAATTCACTAAAATAAATTCTAAACCATAATTTTGATACCATGTTAAAAAATGTATTTATCACGATGTGGGATAGGCTATAAACAACTTGTGTTGGTAAGGTTTGCATTCACTTATATACTTTAAACTGATATTATCGTTATGTGAGACTTTCAACTCACATCCTCACACTAGTGTATATATATGTTTGTGAGATTATACATTAATGAGTGATTTGATAGAGATTCGATACAAAGTGAAAACTAAGCAAAGAACAAATTTTGTTAAGATAACTCTAAGCCATAATTTTGATACCATATTAAAAAGTAGATTTTAAGTTTAACTAAATCTAAAAAACTAACTTATAAAGTGATATTTTCATTCACTTATATACTCTAAACTAGTTTTATCACTAAGGGAGGTTGTGAGATTTCTAACAATTACAAATTAAACATTTTAAAAATGTCGTGAGTAGAAAAAAAATGATAAATTCAACAATTACAATTTGAGTTACTTTGTTAGATTTTTTTTTTTCCATTTATGTTTTGCCCTTATTGTAATTTACATTCCTACTATTTAAGTTTAACCATTTCAATTCATCTTCAATTTTTCCATTTTCTCTACTGCCATTTAATTTCCACACACTATTTCATTTTTATATAAAACTACAAACATAACATAATTCTTAAAATAAATGATTTTGGATCTTTAATATTTATAAAATCTTTAACCGAACAAATACAACTAACACAATTATAGGTGTAATGCATAGAAATAAGAAAGTAGCGAAAATCACGTCAATAAAGACAAAAGAAAACATAAAAAAGAGAAAGGTTAAAGGGATGAATCAAACATAAATCATAAATATAGAATAATAATTAAAAAAAAATAAAAAATACAACTATGTCACGTTCCTACGAGTGTTCCTACAATAGGGGAACTATTATAAAGAAAAAAATAAAAAAGTAACAGAAAAACGTTAACTAAACGAAAGACAAGGAATAGAGGAAGCGTGGAGCTATGGTGTGGAATTAAAAAAATATTTTTTAATAATTTATTTTATAATATTTTTACAACAGTTTATATGATAATGGTCCGTTTGAAATATATGGATGAATAAAACATTGATCCATAATTTATTATAAAAAATTGTTAAAAAAATATTAACCTATTATAGTCTAGGTTTTATTGATCCTCCAAATTTGCAATAAAAAAGAATGAATAAAACGTAATTTCACTAGAGAACGGATAAAGGTCATGTGCACCACCAGAGTAGACAAAGACAAAAGGTATTGTTTTGTTATGACCTTCAGACCATACCATTAATAAGGTTCAACTCACCACAAGGAAATGACAAGTTTTGATGTGAAAGCAACCTATCACTTCTTTCCATTTTCACATCACTTGCCATTTCATAAAACTTAGCTTAATTACCATTTCCATATCAACACTATGGTTTAGACATAAATGTTATAATCCATTCAGACAACTTCTACAAATTAAAATCATTTTTTTTTCCTCAGTTGTTGGACTATGAAAACAAAATCATTCGACAAAAAACTTCACTCTGTTTGTTTTTCATTATCTGGATTGTCCAAAATAATATAAAATAGAAAATTTTCAAGTGAAATATATTAAACATGATTGTTTTAGAAAGTTAAATATAAGATAAATTTATCTCATTACTTTAAGAATCAGTTTTACAATATAGAGTTGAATTAAAATTTATCTTTTAAAATCATTTAAAAATTTGAAATTTAACATTATTTAGTAAATATTCATCATTAAGTTATTAACAAATCATTCATATAAGTGTATACTTGATGGAAAATGATACTTGAACAACTATTTTTGACAACATTTAGACACGCGCACACGTGTCAAAATCTGAGTGGTCCAGTTGGAAAAATTAAATGAAAATGGACCACTCAGATTTTGACACGTGTGCACGTGTCTAAATGTTGTCAAAAATGGTTGTTCAAGTGTCATTTTCCATACTTGATACATAGGATATATGTAGGAAAAGAGAAGAGAAAAACAGTTTTTTTCGATGCGTTTATCAATTTTTTTATATTTTATGATAATATTTTTTTTCATAAACTAACATTTATGAAATTTTATGTACACTCCATTGTTCTTCTCCAAAACAATCCAAAAAAGCACCCTATATTTTTTTTTTGTATTTCATTTTTGATTGATTTCACTTCCACTCACTGTTGATTCATTTAAAAGGAGAAAAAAAGAAGAACAAAGAGTCAATAATGGTTGATGAAACCTCCAACTTTATACTGAACAGAAATGAAAGAAAGGTAAAGAGGCTAGAAAAGAAGAATAAAGTTCCAATGTAGCAGAGTCGGCAAAGACGGAAGGCATTATTTCCATCATTCACACCACAGGCAAGACTGAGCACAGCCAAATGGGGAAGATGTGAAAGCAAAGTTCAGTAATCTTCTTTTTCACATTCCAAAATAGAACAAGCGTTAGGTTTAGGCCAAACACCATTATTGCAATACCCTTACCATTATTATTCTTACATTTCCTCTCTATTTATTAAAGTCTTTAACTTTTTCTGTAAATTTAGTTTCTTTGTTTTAATCATTGATCATTGTGGGGAGAAGAGAATGGTAAGAAAATGTTGAAAAAGAAAGGAGTTCAATTGTAACAGTTACAAATCATAAGATTGGTTAGGGAAGGCATAAAGTTGTGTGCAGAAGGGTGCTGACGCCAGATTCAACGCAAGCAAACCCAAGCTGGAGAGGGTGACGTCACCTGTGGCGTCATGCAAACCACTTCATCTCTCTGTGGACACACAACGCAAAGCGAGAGAAGGCTTTGAATCATCTACGCCAAAAACACTGTTTCTTCTTCTTTTTTTTCTCTCTCTTCTTTCTTTTGACAACGAAAGACGAAACTTCGGGGATGCTCTGTACCTTACCTTCACAGCCGCGTGACATTATCGCTGTCCTTTCGTCTCCGAATCTTTCTTTCTTCCTCTGCTAACATACACCCTTAACCCCTCCTTTCTTTCCCTTTCGAACCTTCCTCGTATTTGATGCTTTGACTTACAGCACGGTGATTGATTCCCTCTCTTTTTTTTTTCTCTCTCCCTCTCTCTATGTTCGTTCTGCTATCAAAGTTCGAACCTTTTTCTGATTTGGATTGATCTGATGCCGGTACTGAGTTGTGGGGTGGTGCTGTTCCTTGACCCTCTCCCCCGGTGTAAACGAAAGTTTTTCTTTTTCTGATGTTTTACTGAAGTTATTTGCCGATTTCGGTTATTCAGTTTGGGATCAGTTTTGGGTTTGGTTTCGTTTGGTTTGGCTATGCTGTTTTGGTGGCTTTGGAAGTTTGAACAAGGGGGTTCTTAGATCCTTTTTGCGCGTTCCCGGTGCTGAAATCTTGCAGAGATATAAAATATTTGTGTTTTTTGTTTTTCATGTCTGTGTATGGATGGACCTCTAGAGATAGAGTGAGTCTCTTTAGCTGATGTTCTTTATGTTAAGTAATCTTGTGAGGGGTTGGATCAGATGTCATGTGTCTTGTGAGTTGTGACATTAGATTTTGTAGTTAACACTTATACAGATCAGTGTTTTCCGTTTGCACGGCATATATACTTTCCTTTTTTATAGGTTGTTTCTGTTTAAAAGTCTCTGGTGGGGAATTCAGGGTTTTTGAGAGTGGAAGATATGCTACAGGATCATTAAGGTTCTCAAGTTGTTGGCAGATGGCTTATTCAGCCGAACCCTCATCTTCTTTGAGCTTCACATCATCTTCCCATTTATCAAATGGCTCAGTTAGTCACAACATTTGCTCTTCTTACGGCTCTGACCCTGTACCTAACCTTGAGGTTATCAGTTTGAGTAAGCTTAGCTCCAACCTGGAGCAGCTTTTGATTGAATCTGATTGTGATTATAGTGATGCTGACATCATTGTAGAAGGAATCCCAGTTAGTGTTCATCGATGTATTTTGGCCTCTAGAAGCAAGTTTTTCCATGAATTATTCAAGAGAGAGAAGGGGACATCAGAAAAAGAAGGGAAGTTGAAGTATAACATGAGTGATTTGTTGCCTTATGGCAAGGTTGGATATGAAGCCTTCCTCATATTCCTGGGTTACGTATATACTGGTAAACTCAAGCCCTCTCCAGTGGAGGTGTCTACATGTGTTGACAATGTATGTGCCCATGATGCCTGTAGACCTGCAATTAACTTTGCTGTGGAGTTGATGTATGCCTCTTCCATTTTTCAAATACCAGAGTTGGTATCACTTTTCCAGGTATATTCTATGTTTGATGACATTGTATAATCTTTCATATCCTGAACAAATCATTACGGTTGTTGATTCTAAAGGGGTATGAAATTGAACTCTGTAATTTATATATCTTGGTTTGTTTAGGCACATTCCTTAATCCTGGCATCTAATCATTGGGGAAATTACTCTGAAATCAAATTCATTTCACATCTAATCACTGGCATCATTGTGTATGTTGAAGCTTAAGGATGAAGGTACTAATGAATGCCTTAAATTTTGCAGCGACGTCTACTTAACTTTATAGGAAAGGCTCTTGTGGAAGATGTCATTCCAATCCTTACCGTTGCTTTCCATTGTCAATCGAGTCAGCTTGTGACTCAATGTATTGATAGGGTGGCCAGATCAGACCTTGACCAGATTTCAATTGACAAAGAGCTTCCGCATGAACTCTCAGGAAAAGTGAAATTGCTGCGCCACAACCCTCAGCAAGACGTTGAAAATGATGCATCTGCTTTGGATGCTTTGTCTCTGAAACGAATCACGAGAATACACAGGGCATTGGACTCCGATGATGTTGAGCTTGTTAAACTTCTTTTAAACGAGTCAGACATTACTTTAGACGAAGCTCATGCTCTTCATTATGCTGCAGCCTATTGTGACCCGAAGGTTGTTTCGGAGGTACTTAGTTTGGGACTGGCTAACGTTAATCTTCGGAATTCTCGAGGTTACACAGTGCTTCATATTGCTGCCATGCGGAAAGAGGCATCTATTATAGTATCGCTGCTTACGAAAGGAGCTTGTGCATCAGATGTGACTTTTGACGGTCAGAGTGCTGTTAGTATTTGTAGAAGGTTGACGAGGCCAAAGGATTATCATGCGAAAACAGAACAGGGGAAAGAAACAAACAATGATCGGATATGCATCGATGTTCTCGAAAGAGAAATGCGGAGGAATCCACTGGCTGGAGAGGCCGGTATCTCTTCCCATGCCATGGCTGATGACCTCCACATGAAACTACTATACCTTGAAAACAGAGGTACGATGTCATGGATGATATTCATTTACTTGTTGCTTGTGTTCTATAAATCGTCATCCTTTCTTAAAGGAGTTCGTGTGTGCTTTAGATTCTAATGTTTTATGCTCAAACCATGAAAAAGTAAATATTGCTCTCAACTGCAGTGGCATTTGCAAGGCTTTTCTTCCCTTCAGAAGCGAAACTAGCCATGGACATTGCCAACGCTGAGACAACATCGGAGTTTGCCGGTCTCTCTGCATCAAACTCAAAGAATAAAAATGGCAACTTGAGGGAGGTTGATCTGAATGAGACTCCCATAGTGCAAAATAAAAGACTTCTTTCTAGAATGGAGGCCCTTATGAAGACAGGTAATTGCAGTCTTTATAAAGTTAGATTTTGATTTCCTTTTGTTGTTTGTCGTAATTAAGCAGTGTTATCTTCTTCAATGTTGTGGTGGTGGCAGTGGAAATGGGGCGGCGCTACTTCCCTCATTGCTCGGAAGTGCTGGACAAGTTCATGGAGGATGATCTACCTGACTTGTTTTATCTTGAAAAGGGTACTCAAGAAGAGCAGAGAATCAAAAGAACACGGTTCATGGAGCTGAAAGACGATGTCCACAAGGCCTTCAGCAAGGACAAGGCCGAGTTTAGCCGCTCTGGCATTTCATCTTCATCCTCTTCATCTTCCCTCAAAGATTCTGTTGTACATTACAGGGCTAGGAAAGTGTAACAGTAAAACCATACATAGCAGTTTTTTATTTTCACATACATATTATATATATAGTGCAAATTCTAAAGTTTATCATGCCCACCTACTCTTGTGTAAAATTCTCAAAGAAGGTGATGATGTCTTACTGTCTTGTGTAATCAACACCATGTCTTTTGAAAATAATTTCATATCCTTTATGGTGCTGAAATTTATTGTAACCTTTTTATGATTCTCTGCCATTCTGTATTTTTCTTTTACTTCTATTTTCTCTTTTTATAAATTAATCTTTTCTTTAATAATTTAATCGTAAGTTTAATCAATTATTGGCATTTGAGAATATGTTTATAACTGTTCGTCTAATTTTTTAGATAAATATTCAAAAGACAATCCAAGTCTCATTAAAGTATCTTTTTATTAAAAATATGTTGATAACATCTTAATTGTTATTCTCTCATAATTAATAATCGAAAAACTATTATTAATATTTTCTTAATAAAAGAGTTGAATTTGTAATTTTTCTCCCTTTTTCTCAATCAATTTTATAACTAGTAGTGAGAGAGTTGATCCTAAATTTCTTGTTACTATTTGATCCAACTTTGTCTTATAACTCCAATAATGAAAAAATTGTATTTCTTAATTATTACTAATTTTATTGAGACATCGCTAGCAATATTGTTATTTTGTACACGCACACTAGCATCTCATAATCAGAATATTTTTTTTCTCTGTTTACACAAGAACATTTCTTATGAATGTTGGAGACTAATTTCTTTAAAGTAAAATTATCACTGAGCTTCTAAATTGTAATAACAATTTGTTTTATTTATATTATCATAAATAAAATTTATAAAAACATTTTTTCTGAATTTTATTGATTTAACGTTAATTAAATCTCGGTCAATTGATTTCGGGATCAAAAAATTTAGTCACACATTATTAAGATAAATCTATTTAATATAAAATTTTATGTTGAATTCTTGTCTATATAACAACTCTTTTGACTAATAGTAATTATATTGTTGCAAATAAGATTAACTAGTTTGTTTGTCGCCTAATGAACTGTGAAATAGATCTGACAGTACG